AATATTTTTTTTGTCGATAATTTTGTTATGCTAATTTGAGTTCAAGTTTGTGACCTCCTTTTAGGAACTCTTATTGCTGTTGGTGAAACTATCTTAATAATATAGGAGTTTGTTTTCTTTACTAATGTACTATTTAAAAAATGTTTTTGATTATATGGTTAAGAAAAATTTTATAGAAATGAATGATATGGAATACAAGTTTTAGGAAACTTTTTATGGGGGTTAACAAATATTTTCTCTTAACTTGCTTGATAATTTAATAATCCTAATATGTTTGATGAATTACAACCAATTAATTCATAAATCACGTTAATAATTATTATAACGTATAGATCAGTAAACCTACTGTTAGACTTTATTTCAAAGAGTCATCACCAATATTTTTCATTTAAATGTGATTGGTCACTTAATCGAATTTGTTTCATTTTAAAAAGATGTTCTAAGTTTGACTCAGATATTTTTAAAAGATAAATTATGTCTATAAAACCAAGATTAGATTCGGGAGTTTGGTTATGTATAGGGAAGGTTATAGCACCATGTAACAACCATCCAAATGATGGTACCAATTTGATCTCCTGTTATCCAAAATCGTAAAAATCTTATCAAATAATTAGTTATTGAAAATTATCTTAAAATTACTCAAATATGTTGGTAATAATTTTAGGACATTCCCTTACTTTGAGAGTATTCAAAGAAACTATTTGTTACGCTTAAAAGATGCTTAATCATCGGATTTATTAATATTTTATAAAAAATTTTATTTATAATATGTGAGATTTTGAGAATCTTGATATTGAAAATCTTTTTCTAATTCTTCAATAATTTGGTAAAATTTAGAAAGAGTTTTTTATCTAAGAATTTACATAGAGATTGTTATTTGCAATGCTTTTAGTAACTCCATCATTAAAGATTCAAAATCTAATTTTATAAAAATATTTTATTTTCAAAAATATTTTTCAATATGTTGGTAAGATTTTTTATCAAAAATTATCCTTCAATATGTTGGTAAGATTTTATGAAAATTATTTTTTTTTAAATTTTAATTTTTGTCAAAAATTTAAAAAAGTTTTTAATATGTTGGTAAAACCTTATTTAAAAAATTACAAATTTTTTAATATGTCGGTAAGGCTTATTTATGCAAAATTCATTTTTTCAAAAAATTTTAACCTTCTAATATGTTGGTAAGAGTTATTTTTTAAAATTTTAAAATTTTAAAATTAGTAATTATTAATTATTTATTTTAAAACCCTATAACATATTGGTAAGGTTTTATTTTTTTATTTTTCACATTCTTATCTAACACAACAAACACATAAAATAAAAAATAAAATAAAAGGTAAAAATACCAAAACAATACCAAAGAAAAGTTTCTGGCTCGGCTTTAGAATACGACTTGACAGCTTGGCTCATTTCAGAAGAAAAAATCAACTCGGCTTCGCTCATGGCTCGATTTAGCAGCTTAGCTAAATACTAGACTTTAGGGTTTTTGGTTTCTCATGCGGGTTTCGGGTCGAGTTAATGGCAAACGCGCAAGTCTTGACTATTTAAAACGTAATGTTTAAAGTCAATTTAAAAGTTAAAAATTTTCCATTTTCCTCTAAAAAATATATATATATCTTTCTCACTCTAAGTTCCCAGATGAACAAAGCCAAGCTTCAAGCCAAATGCAAAAATTGGTGGCTGTCTGTTGCTATCATCATCGCACACTGCCATTGGTTGCCACTCACCGTCACTGGAATTGTTCCAAAAGATCTCCATAAGCTCCTTCGGGCCTTCTCTCTCTTTTTTTGAAATTAGTTTCCTTTGAAAACGTAAAAAATCACCTAGATTGTTGTTGAAGCCGCGGCCCGGTTCAATTTTCTTTTACTGTGCGATCAAGTTGATTTTTAGATATGCCTATCTTTATCCCTTACTCTGCACTTTTATCATTTTTTATCTCTAAAATCTCACCTCGATCGCTGCCAACCACTATTGCTGCACCTTTTTTGTCACTGGTGTTCTTTTTGTGTATTATGGGTTCTATGATTGCATGTATCATTGCTGAATTCTGTGATGATTTTGCCTATATCAGTGTTTGGTTTGTTATGGTTTTGTGTTTGCTCTCATGTACTGTGGTTGGTATTATGGATATTTGCTGAAATTGTTGGCAGGTTTATGGTGGTAGAAGAGAGATTCGGTGGTGGGTGGAATTGATGCTTATAAGGGCATGAGGTTTCAGCTAGAACTATTGTGGACTGTCGCAACCAACTTTTGTGATATGGGTTATTTCCAATGGTTTAGGGAAAGTGGTGACAATAGGTATTCTAGTGGTTATATGTGTTGGAGCTTTGTGACTTTATTGAGGGAATTGAAGTTGAATGGAAGTGACATGGGAGGGCTTTCAAGTAGTTCTTGTGGTGGTGACAGTGTGCTTGGTGTGTGGGGTGATGAAAGTGGTATGATTTTTAGTGATTGGTGAATGGGTATGAAGACTTGGTACAAAGGACTTGCTGGAGTTTGCTTGGATTTTGCTAGTGGGGTGGTTTTTGGTCGATTTTTCTTTGTGATTTCCTCTAATTTCTTCGTGTTTTTGCTTTTGTTTATTAGAACATTATTTATAGAAAAAAGTAGAAGAGCTTTTATCAAGATTAGAATTTCTTTTTAAAAACTAACAGCTATCACCTAATCTTAAAACTATTTTCATATGGGGATCGTCATCGAGTAAGCTTTCAGTTTTTTCCTTTTTTTTTTTAATAATCATATAATTTGAATGTAAAAACGTGATAAGAATGGTAATATTAAATAAATTGATATAATTAAGGATAATCAACAAACAATAAAAATAAAATAATAAAATAATAAATAATAAATAATATATATATACAGATAAAAGTAGTGAAAATAGAAAGATAAAAGAAATAAAAATAAAAATAAAATTTAAAATTCTACAATTAAGCTTAAATCGAGACTAAATCCAATTAATTTGGGCCTTGGATTAAATGGGGTGTCCACGACAATCATAACATATATATCATAAATTTACATCTTTATTTTTATTATTTTAATTTATTTTGTATGAATCAGCTATATATGTAGCATATTTTAAATGTAATATGTTAATTATTTTCACTTATGTTAAGATCTTTTTTGTTGATAATTTTGTTATGGTAATTTGAGTTTGAGTTTGCGATCTTTTTTTGGGAACTTTTATTGCTGTTGGTTAAACTCTCTTTATAACATAGGAGTTTGTTTTTTACTAATATATTCTTCAAAAAAAAGTTTTTGACTATAGGGTTAAGAAAAATTTTACTCAAATGAATGATATGGAATACTAGTTTTAAGAAATTTATTGTGAGGGTTAACAAATATTTTCTCATAACTTTGCTTGATGATTAATAATCCTAATATGTTTGATGAGTCATAAACAATTAATTCATGAACCACATTAATAATCATTGCTTGTATATCATAGGTTTTCATATTTATTTCTTTTAAAATATTATTTAAAAGGATTTTTGAAATTTTTAAAAATTTCTAAAAAATTTGGTTTCTTATAAGATATAAAAACATGTAGTACCATTTAGAAATTTAAAGTACTTAAAACACAAATAACTTAATTGAAATCACTAATAGAATAAAAATGGTATATGCATTAATACATAATAATTACTTTACTTTTATTCCTTTCCAAAATATATGTGTTATTTTGTTAGAGGGCAAGGATAAAAAAGAATTCAGTCTTATCTGTTAAATTATAATTTTATGATAAAAAAGTTAAATTTGCATATTAAATTATTAGGTCTTTTTATCATTAGATTTAATTTTTTTAGAATACTATTACACACATATTTACTACTCATATTATTAAAATTAGATTTTTAGCTAAATATGATAATGGGAATATAAATTTTTATTAATAGTATAGTGTTTTTAAAATAAACATGCTAATTTTTTATGAGTAATAATAGTATTTGTAAGAAAAAATATAAAACAATTGCTTGCCCCATGTATAACATGAGTTTAAAATTAATATTGATTAATCATTCTATCTAATTAAGAAGCCTAATGGGTTTGTGACACTCATCAACTTTTTTTTATTCATGGAAAGAAAATTTGAACATGTTCTTTCAATAAAAGTAGTATGTATCAATGCATCAATTGACTGAGCCAAATGTCAACCAATTTTTAAACGTAAATAATAATAATGTTATTTTATTACATCTACGGTATATGTATGATTTTACCAAATTCATAATAGTTTTGTCAAGAAGTCTCTTTTTAACAAGTTTCTAATGGTGGTGTTTTTGCTGGTATGCATACCTTAAGGTTTTAATGTGTGTTCTGTCATCTGTATCAATTAAATTCGAGGGGACAGACTTATGTTGATAATCTGTAATTGTTTTGTGGTACATTGGCAAGTGACACCCCTTTTCTGATGCTGTTCTCTGCTTCGATGGCCTTGTCTTTACTTGGTAATTGATATTATAGGGTGACAAGATACGGAGACGTGATGAGTGGTCCAAGTGGATTCCAGCTAGTTCAAAGACAACATTGTCAGCAGAACCTCAGGCTACTACGTACCAACTTGAAGAGAATGCCACTGATTCATGTGGAAATGGTGATGTGAATGAAGATAATTCAAGGAACACTTCTGAAGAAAATGATAAATTTACATTGCATGGTGGGAGCTTGGAGCATGTTTCAGCTGTGGGCAATCCTATGGAAGTAACACGTAAAAATAATAGAAAACATGCAGTTGCGCAAGGTCTATTAAATGGTGAGAAATGAGCATTTTATGGTGGAAATGATGACTTGAACAGGAAATTAATTGCTGATTCCCACATTAAATTCTCAGATGTCGAAGAGTTACAAAGAGTTGAGTCTGTAAGGTTTACTGACCATAAAGCTGAAAGTGTGGAATTATTATCAGATGTAACAACACAAAATGTTGCTGACCTATCAAATGATTTCGCACACACATTTATGCTTGATGAAGAGCTAGAGCTCAAGCAAAAACACTAAGGACTCTCTCAGCACTTAAAAGGTACTAGATTGTTTTTATATTTAATTCGCACAGCATCTCATTTATTGTTGAGTTAGGGAAATTTCTGCTTTCTGTTTAAAGGCATGTTTTAAACACCTAGATGCTAATAACCTTCCCTTCAATTCTGAATGGCATTTTTTGTTCAGAATGGATGATGAAGATGACGAGATGATTATCAACGATCAGGATGTTCAGAGACTTGTGATTGTTACCCAGGTAATGTGGTACTGCTTTGTATGAATTTATTTTATGCCTTGTTAATTGTTATTGTTATATTTCATGTTTAAAGATTGGGTCGTTGCAATAGCTTCTTGGGATCTTCTAACTTCTAGGTTTATGCATTTACTTGCTAATTCAAGATAGTTGGTCTGATATCATGACAATCCAATAGTATCATATTGATTGTCTGATGTCATAAGAAAATGATAAGAATGTCAGACTTTACTCTGAGATAAAAGGAAATACAATTCAAAAAGAATATATATATATATATATATATATAATACCCCATCTAAATCTGTTATTTCGTAGACATTGCATTTATGAAGCATATACGTGCATAATGTAATACTTCCATGTTGTGCAGTTGAAGCATTCTAAACTGATTCAAGAGGGCAGTGTTCTTTCCCAATTGCAAATAGAAAGATAACCATTTTCTTCACGTCAGCAATAATTTAGAATTTAGAGACATTAAGATAGGACATTCTGGTCCACTCCTCTCCTCTCCTCTTGCATCTCTTTTCTCCCAATTTCTTCTGATATTCTTATTTTTTATCGAGACTGGTATGTTCTTTCTCTGTTTTTAGGTTACACCGTGATCATGCATTTTGTTTGGATCATGTTTTACTCATATTAAACAGTCGAATGGTTCTGTTTTTCTTTTAATGGCACGTACTCATTTCTTCTGATGTGCAGAATAGTGGGACAGGTGAAGGACCAAAAGCTGGTGCGAAAGATTCAAAGTCCATATCCAGTGAGCTTGATGCTGTGATAAATGATGGTCTTTACTTCTATGAACAGGTCAAGGGATAAGCTTTTCTAATTTATTTAAAACTGTCTTATGGTACATATTTATAAGTTGCGTCTTTTTCTGTAATCTAATTACTTGCTGGTGACCGTTATGAACAGGAGCTGAAAATTAAACGATTTAGTCGTAGAAAGAATAACTCTATTTATGAGAATAAAGATGGAAATCCAAGGTCTCCAAGGAGTGCATTGGGAGTATCAAATTCAAAGATAGGTGAAAACGCTGCTGGGAGCAGTAGTCTTGTGGAGTCTGGAGGAACAAGTTCCTGAAGGAAGCAAAATAAAGGTTTCTCAAAGCAACATTCATTCCAGAAACAGAGAATTTTCTCCAGCAACTTAAGAATCATGGAACCAGTCACAACTCAATTTCAATAATATCAGAAAGTCCACCAAGTAATTCGGTTGGATATTTCTTTGGTTCTACTCCTCCAGATAGTTATGGGTTAGTTCTAAGTGACCGTTTCTTCATTTTAAATGTCACGAGTAACTGAGGTTCTTTTGGCTTGTTTTCTAATAGTTGTACTTTTTCTTGCTTTTGAGTGCAAGAATACAGGTTACTGCCGGTTTCAAATATACATGAAACCTAATTTATTTGACTAGACTTTAAGGTTTTCCATAGCTAATGGATGTCTAAGCATTTTTTAGAGCTCTAGGCCGCCTTCGAAGTTGAGCTGTTCACCACATGGAACTCTTTCTAGCAGTCCACCAGTTGGTTCCTTGCCAAAGTCGTTTCCACCTTTTCAGCATCCAAGTTATCAGCTGTTAGAAGAAAATGATTTCAAGCAACAGAAGTAAGGGATGGTGGATTTTTTCTCTAATATATGTATGTATTTTTGTATACTTTTGCACAGTTCCACATATAACTTTCAAGACTTTGTCAGATTTTTGTTGTACCTAAAAATGACTTTCTTTGTGGTCTGTGCTAGAGCCCTTCTGCATGTACTTGTACTTGCTCAGAGAGGTATATAAGGATGGAAAGAATGAGAATGAGCACTTGAAAAGCAGAGTTGGCTAATTCAGTTGTTTTTACATTCAGGTACCTAAAGTTTCATAAGCGCTGCCTGAGTGACCGGAAGAAGTTGGGAATTGGTTGCAGTGAGGTGGACTTTCTTTCAGAACTTTCTAAGTTATTAAATAACTGTTTTACTTGAAATGAAAGATCAACTATTGCACAACTAACTTCTATTGTTTAATTGATTCTCATGTCTAGGTAAGTTCTTGTTGTTATTTTTTAAGCAAAGAAAATTTTACTCACTGTTGCATTTCTTAACATCAGAAACATTACAATTTAAAGCCTAATTAATAACTATCCACTAAAATCATAATCTTAAGATTAAGCCATGACCACCAGCATGAATAACAAAAAAATGACCAACACCAGAAAAACAGGAAAAACATGAAACATTCAACTAAGCAGCATTCATGAATCCACATTAGCAGTCCTAAACACATCTTCTAACATTCCTCTTTGCTTTAGGAGCTGTAAACACCAAGTTTTGTCCTTAGAAATTCAAACTTGCTAACTGGCAGTGGCTTGGTGAAAACATCTGCAACTTGATCTTCTGTTTTACAGTAGACAAGAACAACAGCTCCATCTTTCTGTATTTCCCTTAAGAAGAATAATTTAATATTAAAATGTTTAGTTTTTTCATGAAACACAGGATTTTGAGAGATAGCAATGGCAGCTTGGTTGTCAACAAGAATCTTTGTACTTTTCTCCTGCTCTAAGTTAAGATTGATTAAAATCTTCCTTACCCACAAAGCTTGATTAACAACAGCTGTTGCAGCAATAAACTCTGCTTCAGCTGTGGATTGAGCTACAATTTCTTATTTTTTCGAGCTCTATGAGAAAATACCAGAAAAAAGTGTGAAACAATAGCCTGAAGTGCTCTTCATATCATCAATGGAACCTCCCCAATCACTGTCTTAGAAACCAACCAGCTTGAACTCTTTGCTCTTTGTGTATTTAATGCCAAAATCACTTGTGCCTTTCACATATCTAAGCACCCTCTTTGCAGCCTTGAGATGCCATTCACTTGCACAATGCATAAACCGAGACAAAATGCTTACATCATTCAAAATGTCAGGTCGAGTTGTTATGAGAAACATTAAGCAACCAATTAGGCTTCTGAAATATGCCTGATCAATCTTCTCTATTCCATCTTCTTTACAGAGCTTTTCCTTTGAGTTCATTGGTGTCCTTATTTCTTTACATTCTTCGAGTTTAAACTTCTTCAGAATCTCCTTGGCATATTTCTTCTGACAGATGAAGACTTCATGTTCATTCTGTTTGATTTCCATTCTAAGAAAAAAGGTCATCAATCCAAGATCTGTCATTTCAAAAAACTCCATCATCTCTTACTTAAACTTCTCCATAATACTTGTGTTGTTTCTTGTCACAAATAAGTCATCCACATATAGTGAGATGATAAGAATGTCAGCTCCATTGTGCTTGACATATAAAGTTGATTCAGATAAGCTTTTGACAAATCCCAAGTTCTGTAAATGTTCATCAATCTTGTTGTACCAAGCTCTTGGAGCTTGCTTCAATTCGTAAAGTACCTTTTTAAGAAGATAAACCTTGTTTTCTTCTCTTTCATTGACATAGCCTTCTGGTTGTTCTACATAAATCTCCCCTTACAGAAAACCATTCAAGAATGCTGACTTGACATCTAATTGGTGCACTTTTCAATTCTTTTGTGCTGCAACGATGAGTAAAAGCCTGATGGTGTCGAGTCTAGCGACTGGTGTGAAAGTATCTGAGTAGTCCATACCGAGTATTTGAGCATATCCTTTGATCACGAGTCTAGCTTTATACTTGTTGATTGAGCCATCAGCATTAAGCTTGGTTCTGTACACCCATTTGACTCTAATTACTTTTTTATTTTTAGGTCGATAAGCCAACTCCCATGTTTCATTCCTTTCAATCATGAATAGCTCTTCCTTCATTGCAGCAATCCAATTTTGATCCGTCTTGGCCTCTTCATAATTTGTAGGTTCACACACAGCAATATTGCATCTTTGATAAACATCAGAAAGTAGTTTTATACCTCTGATAGGACTATCATCCACCATTTCATTCTCCCAGTCTCCAATGCTAGAAAACTTGAGCTTGTGCTTTTTTAAGGTTGGATCCATTTTTTTTGTATCATCCCAGTTCCACTCTTTATCTTCCATAAAGTGCACATCCCTGTTTATAATAATTTTTTCAGTTTGTGGCTGAAAAACTTTATAAGCTTTTGCAACTAGCTGTAGCCAATAAAGATACCTGTAAGTGCTCTTTTATCTAATTTATCTTTCTTGGTCTATGAAACATAAGTGAAGCACAAACATCCAAATATTTTAAAGAAATTCAGAGATGGTTTATAACCATACCATGCCTCAAAGTGTGTTTGATCCTTCACTGCTTTTGTGAGAAGCCTGTTTTGCAAAAAAAAAAATAGTATTTGCTGCTTCAGTCTAAAATTATTTTGGCAGGTTCTTCTCATGTAGCATACATCGCGTCATCTCCAATATGAATCTATTCTGTCTCTCACTTACTCTATTTTGTTGTAAAGTGTATGGAGCGGTTAATTGATGTTGGATGCCTGTCTCTTCACAAAAATGAGTGATGCTTCAGAAGTGTACTCTTTGCCATTGTCTGATCTGAGAGTTTGAATTCTACAGTCGCTCTCGTTCTCAACTCTGGCTTTAAAGTCTCAAAAGACTTGAGCCACCTCTGACTTGTACTTTAAAAAGAAGATCCAACACATACGGGTGAAATCATCAATGAATGTAACATAATAAAGACTATATTTCAGAGAAGGCATTCTTTGTGGGCCTACAATGTCAGTATGAATTAATTGTAACTTCTTTGATGCTCTTTATGTTACCTTGGGAAATGGTTTCTTACTTTGTTTTCCAAACTGACATACTTTGCAGTTTGGAACATGATCATCAAGTTTTGGAAAATCATTTACCATCTTCTTAGATTTCATCTGCAGCAGCCCCTGATGATGATAGTGTCTGAGCCTCTTGTGCCATACTTCAGTGATTTTTTTTATTGGGAAAACAGTTTGTTCCTCTTCCAATAGATTTAGAGCAAAGCTTTTCCCTTTCATTTTTACTTTGAAAATATCTTGGCTAACTGCATTTTTAATCAAGCAACTTTTATCTTCGAACATAACTTTATAACCCTTTTCAATTAGTTGTCCAACACCTAACAAGTTTTGATCAATTTCAGGGACATATATTACATCAGAAATGAACTATGTACCTGAACAAATTGAAATTGCAACTTTTCCTTTTCCCTTCACAGTTATGTACTTGCCATTACCAACTCAAACTTTCGATGAGTTTACGTTGCTTAGTTCCCTGAATAGATCCTTGTAATGTGTCATGTGGTTAGTACAACCACTATCTATAAGTCAACTCTCACTTGATTTGATGTCAGAGAAACATGTAGCTACGAACAGGTAATCTTCCTCCTCTTGATCAGCAATCTTTGCATCTTCACCATGTTACAAAATTTTGTTTTTACAGATAATAGTTTCATGCCCCATCTGATTACATTTAGTGCATTTAGCATCAGGTCTTCTCCGGCATCTAAATGGAGGATGACCATTCTTTCCACAATGTTGGCAAGGTGAATAGGATTTTTCTGATTTTTATTCTTTTTTTTTTTTTGCATTGGCTGATGCAGTACTTGTCCCATTTCCTTCAAAATCTTTTTTCTTTTACTTTTGGCCATATTTTGATGCTTGACTGCCTAAGCTCCTTTAATTGTTGTATCTTCCCTCATCAGTCTTCTTTGTTCTTGTGCTTGTAAAATGTTAAGCAATTCTGTTAAGGAAATTTTTGACAAATCTTTTGTATTCTCCAAGACAGTGATGGTTGCTTCATATCTTTCAGGTACTGTAACAAAAATTTTTTCTACAATTCTTGAGTCAGTAAATTCAGATCCAATAGGCCTTACTTTGTTTGCGATACTCAGAAGCTTATCGGAGTAATCTTTAATCGTCTCAGAGTCCTTAATTCTTTGAAGTTCAAATTCCCTAATCAAGTTAAGGACTTGCATCCCTTTAATTCTTTCATCTCCTTCATATTCATTCTTGAGATAATCTCATATCTCTTTTGCTGACTTCAGAGACATGATACGAGTGAAAATGATGGATGAGACTGCAGTAAACAAGCAGGCCTTCGCCTTTGATTTCTTTGTCTTCTTTTCTTTCTGTGCTTTAATTTGTGCCATGGTGGGATTGTTTGGAAGTGCAAAAATTTCATAGTCTTCTTCCACTGCTTCCCAAAGATCTAAAGCTTCCAAGTATGTCTCCATACGTACTGCCCAAATTTGGTAGTTATCTCCGTCGAATACCGCCGGAACAATTGCAGAGAAACTGGCTTCAGCTTCTATGACGCATCAATTTCACACACAGATCCCTTAAAAAGATAGCTCTGATACCAAATGTTTTTATTTTTGAAGTAAAGAAAATTTTACTCACTATTGCATTTCTTAACATCAAAAACATTACAATTTAAAGCCTAATTAATAACTACCCACTAAAATCATAATCCTAAGATTAAGCCATGACCACCAGCATGAATAACAAAAAAATAACCAACATCATAAAAACAGGAACAACATGAAACATTCAACTAAGCAACATTCATGAATCCACATTAGCAGTCCTAAACATATCTTCTAACAGTTCTACCAAAAATATTTACTCTTATACCTCTTTTTGAATTTTGTCTTTGTTTTGTATTAGTACTCACTCATCTTAGTCACACAAGAAATAGGTTGTGTGGTGTGCTTTCATCTTTTATCTCCCCATTATGTCATTTGTAAGTGAAAAAAATTGAATATAGTTTACCTGAAGGGAGGATGAAGCCCTAAATGTATTATCGTCAAAGTTCTGTTGTCTGCATAGATCTTTATGTAGTTTAAAAAACTGAATGGTCTATCTTCTACT